AATAGCTCACCCGCCCGTTCCCCTGCAGCAATTGAGCTGCCGTGGGAGGGCACATAATGTGGTCTGGGCTCTAGTTTTGCTCAAGGTTTAATCGGCCGCCGAAAACGCAAAAGCGCTTTCGGCGGCCGATTGAACGTGTTGCCACAGCTTCCGCGTGATCAACCAATGATACATATTTTACCCGTTCTTGAGTTCACAATCGGGTAATATTTTGGTAGAACACAAATAGCGAGAAACGTCTCGCTGCCTCCCAGGCAGCACAAAACGTCGTGGAAACGTCGAGAAAAAGTCCCGGACGTCCGTGACGTCCCGCATGACTTCGATCACGTTTTTTCGATGTTGAGGTGACGTCCTTATATAACGTTTCATTAGAGTCCAATCAGTGACGTTGTGACGACGTTGTATTTCAACTCAAACGTCGTCAACGTTCCCGCGACGTCGAAGCACGACGTTCTCACAACGTCCAACGCTCACGTTTCTTTGACGTTGAACTGAAGTTCATAAATGACGTCCCATTATCGTCCTGTCCGTGACGTGCTGGCGACGTCACGTTTCAACTTTAACGTCGTCATCGTCACCAAGACGCTACGATAAGACGTTTTAGCAACGTCGAACACTCACATGTCTTCAAAGTTAAAATAAAGTCCTGGGTAACGTTACATTATTGCCCCGTCAGTGACGTTTCAGTGACGTCGCGTTCACACCTAAATGCCGTAAACGTCATACAAGACGTGCTGGCAACGTCGACCACTCACGTTTTGTTCGACGTTTTTAGATTTTCCAGCTCAATCTCCAGCCGCAGAATCACTGTGGTCAAGGTGACAGTGCTCAAGAGCCGCAAAGAAAACTTAATTTTTGAGAGATTTTGAAAGAGTGTCAAAATGCTATTAATTGCACATCGATGACGCTAAAGAGGGCATTTACAAAACTCAATGTACACGGAAGAAAAAAAATAATATGAAAGCATGTTAGAAATATCATTCCTTTTAGATGTGCTTGTTATAATATTGGTTTGTTTAAAATATTGTTACGGGTTTAATTTGCGAAGCCCATGGCGTCTAGAACGGATCGAATTGTACTATTCTTGCATTTTGCACGCGCGCTGTCGTCTTCCATGGGTCCTGGGCCCTGGCACGCGCCTCAGGGGCGCCGCTACACTATCCCCTCTCCAGGTGATTTCAGGCCTGCATCCTTTCCTAGGAGCATCCATACTGCTCCGCGACTACCCGAGATTGTTTTCAGGTTCGTCAATTTTTTTTTTTCGTGTTTTGTAACCCATGCTCACCTGCGCACATCCAAAAAATTCACATCAGCATTACAGTTCATCTATAACACCAACTTCCAGCGCCTTGGCGCTTTCGGTAGATCGGGGCGCAGTCTTGTCACGTGACTGTCAGTACAGATCTGGCTTTCGTTGCCACTAGTGACGTACCCAAACGAAAATCGCATGCCAGCACACACTTTATCAGTGCACAACTTCACTGTATACTTGCGCATTTTTGGAGTTGACTCAAAAAAATAAATAAAATAAAATGCCCGGCAATGACGAAATCCGGTAGATACTGTCAACGGTTTGTGGAAATTGACATTCATGATGCCAACCCCTGAATGGCCCAGATGACGGTCCAGAAAGCGTTCAAGCCCAGTCCGCACTTACGTGCCGAAAAAAAAATACACAACAAAAAAGAAAGAAAAAAATAAAAAAAAAAACCAGCCGGCACGGCGCCAGAGAGAGGGGGAAAGGTAGGCAGAGTTGATGCCATAGAGCCCCATGCGATACGTCGGGAAACTCGGCAAGAAGAGGACGAGAGAGAAAAGTGGGGGCAGATAGCGACGGACGAACAATAGAGCCTTATGCGAAATTGCTTTGTGGTCTGACAACACTGAGATCGTCGCCATTTTAATGTTGGCAAGCGTTGTGGTGGAGGCATCTGAGACTGCCGTACCAGCCGTACGGGCAATGTGCGATAGCGCAGCAACTGCTTTTCGCCTTCTGACCATATTATGTGGACGGACAGTTTAAACAACCTACCGCAACTGCCTGACAAAACTCTCGGAGGCCTGTGCACGCTGGCGACAACCTTGTCGAAGCAACGGACCAAGTCCTACGCCTTGGCTGTGGAAGCTTGTTGTCGCCAGCGTGTGCACAAGCCCCCGAAAGGACTAGACCGTTATGCCTTTCATCTTTGAGAACACTTTTAATTATTTGTTCCATGCGAATACCCTTGAAGTCGTATACTGCTCCACGCAAATATAATGACTCAAAATTAGTTGTTTTTTTGTGTTTTTTTTAGTTCCTACTGGCGGAGGGTTTTTTGATGGAATACTTTTTGTTCTTCTTAAAGAAACTGTGCCCTGGGCAATATTTTTCAAGCGCTGGAAAGGGCTAAAATTGGTTTCAGATAACATTGACCTGAAGCCCAGTTGACGGATATTGCGCTATTAATGAATATCTGTTGAACCCTGACAGAATAACTGCAGTGACTTTCTCAAAACTACCCCCGAGCTTCTTTGCACAGAAGCGAAATTTCCACCCCAGCTGCGACAAAAAGAAAAACACAAAAAAGGACGTTGTAAAATAAAGTTGGCACCGCCCGTGTTGCTTTATTCGACGTCCGCAACGTCAATATTTTTGCCACCGCCGACATCGAAGTTTTAGCCACTGCGATGAACCTAACCATACCACTGTAAACCATACGCATCTTCAATTACGGTTGGTAGCCTAGATTATTAAAACTGCCATCGTTTTGCCTCGCTTAACAGCCTTGGTCTCGTCCGCATGCATTGAGCTGCTTCCGCATCAAGAAAAAGGCAGGCCGATACTAAATGCGAAATATGCGAAATTTAGAGCGCCATCTAGTAGGCAGTCTCAGAAGCCTAAGTTCCGGATGCACGTATTTTCTCAGTCGTTCCCAAACTATTTCACTGAATGTTCTGTTCTTCGAATTGGCCCAGAGAGAACAGGTCTGGGACCCGGTCCAGCTTTTTCCGAAAGCCAGTCACTAGCACCGGCCGTCACGTCTACAGGTCTACGAGGCAGGCTGCTATGTCGCCGTGATTTTTTTTTTTCCCGAGTCTGCATATAGTATAAGTGCTGCGATTGGATGAGTCGTTCAAGTCGCCCCCATGAAAAAGTCTGTGATCGCCAAAAACGCCGTCGTATTCAGTCACGACTCGGGGACCGTTTTCAAGGCCATAAAGCTTCACACGTTGAATCGTACTACTGCTCGGATCAAGGTGCCTGTGAGGATATGAATGGCAGCCCCCAGAAAACAAGTGGCAGTGCACATAACGGCGCGTCAAGTCCAGTCTCCAATCAAGACCCTTCAGACGCCTCCGACGATCCCAATCAAGAACGCCCAGCGGACGGGATCCCCCTTCTGAAACCATTCCCGTGCACGCAGCGAGGACGGCTAAAGCACGCGCGTCAGCGCATTATTCAGAAGCAGAACGAGGTAAGCGGTGGAACATTCCGCGCAGCGTGACATCGTCTCTTGTTCATTTATTTACGTCATTTTGTTCTTTTATATCTTTGAGGCTGGCCCATCCAGGGACGTCTTTTGGAGGCGCTCCGTACTGCATCTCGTGTCTGAACATGCTCAAATAAACAGTTCGTACCAAACCTGTGTTTTAGTTACTTCCTTCGAACTTGCATGATAGCAGCTCGCCTTCGCAATAATACTAAAAAAATACATTTTTTTTTTCTTGGGGGGGGGGGGGGGGGGGGGAGGGGAGGGGAGGGGGACACAACGTTTTCCCACGACGGCTAGGGAACGTAATTTGGAAAGGTTTCTCGACGTTCTGTGAACGTCGTTGGTAGTCCGGATGTCGTAAACACACGTATCATAAACGTCGAGGGAGGACGCAACGGCCCACTGAGACGTGCATGTGACGTGCAACAAACGTCATTTGGAACGTCCCTTCGACCTCCTGTGCACCTTTTCTCGCGGACATTTAAAGGTTTCATTGATGTCGAAGGAAGGTAACGTCCGGACCTTCGACGTTTTACGACGTCACGTTACAGACGTCTTCGACGTTCTTTCGACGTTTTCTCCACGTTTATGTGCTGCTTGGGCTTTGACGTGTTTGTCTTCCGTACTCCATCCGCCGGTCGATGTCAGCTTTTGTACGGCACTAAATCGATCCCAGAAGCACGTGTTGTCCAGAGGGACTTTTAGCAAACCGTTACCGTGTTCCGCGTACCATACCTTCCAACCACTGCGGTTCAAAATTTTGATTCAAAGGTCCTCGCAGAAGAGGTGCTTACGCCACTCCCAAATAAATATCCCAGATCTCTGGGCAAGTTTTCAAGCGCGCTCCCCGAGGTCATGGTATCACTCCAAGCGCGCGCTTAAAAGCACGCTTCAAAGGCTGCAGTAGAACGGTACACGGAACACGGTAAAGGCTTGCTAAAAGTCCCTAAAGCAAGCAGATTCGAACGCGAGTCACCACGAGATCCGTGTTTCGAATGCCGTGCGGCAATGAGTTCGAGGAGAAACTTGGCACGCGGCATTCGAACCACGAATATTCTGGTGACTCGTGTTATCAGATTGCTTTTTTTATGATGTATCAGCAGTGTGACTCGGGCTTAATGATCTCCAGCGTAAAGTATGAGACTATCACACTTTCAAGATGCGTCCGATCTCTCTGCCTCGGCCATGCCTTGGAACGTGGTTTATAAAAAAAAAAAAAATCAAAGGCTTTTTTTTTCGGTTTGTTAGCGATGGCGTACGCTCTTTCGTCGTTCTATTTTCGTTTTCGAATGCCACTTCCCAGGACTAACCGCGCCCTTCGATAGCATTAGCAGGCAAATCGTCTACGGACATGTCGTCACGTGGTCAATCCGTCCGCGGATCAGTCCGTCGTGTGAATCGGCCATTTGCAAGAGGCGATAGCGTTCCTATGTGAACAAAATAAGGCCGAAATGGGACCCCTAGACTTTATGCTTCAACCCACGAGTATTGAGCAAGGATATCAAAAACATGCGTGGACAGCGTAGCTGCGACAAATGTACGAGTTTTAATGAGCACTCTAAAAACACAGTTTATAAAACAGGTTCGCGCATCCGTGCCTTTCGCAGCGCCGCACGTTACTCTTGAAATGGAGGAAACAACTGGGCCTGGTACTCTTCCTGAATCTTGAGTCTCTGTTTCTCCTTTCTCTGCTGGCATTGGGGACAGTGGAAGTTCCTCAGGACGTATCTGCCGTGCAGAGGCATCGGCGGCCTGAAGTTGTCCATCAGAGCGTGGGACGACCCGTGGTCGGGACCACTGGCCTGCACTTTGCGAAAGACGCTTAGCTGGAAGAAAGAACCAAGTAAACAAAGAGAAGTGAGCTAGGGGAGGGCATACCTCGCACGTTTCACGGGATGCCTGGTGGCTGCTTCTGTGATTGTGTTATGTGCACGTCCAGAGAGCGGAGAAAGCATTTCATTTCAAGTCCGACTGCACGAAAAGTGCACTGTCACGGCGCTCGTCCTTTTCGTGCGTTGGCTACCACGCTGCGACCATTTTTAACATAAATGAAAACGCCGCCGCCTCGCCTATTCGGTCGGTTATCAAAATAAGTTCGGTACCCGCGAAGGTTAATCATATTGTTATCATTATTAAACCATGTTTGGGTCAGAATTATAACACCAAAAGAAAAAGTAAATTGGTTAAGTAAATATGTTATCACATCTTTGTTACCATCGGAAATCACAATACTTTTGCGTTTTGTTTTGTAAAGTCACATGTAAAGTGATTAGGTTGCACGAATTAGTGAAGAAACAGTATTTGTCTTGTTCTGCCGTGATGTCCAGACTAAACGTAAGCCACGATCGGAGTGGCGACTGCCCGTTCTACGTGGCGAAGCCCGTTTGACGCAGAGATTTGCAAGTGATCCTGGTACACCACAGATAAAGGTACTATTGTGATCCATGAAACGCTTGCCGCCATCGGTTATGAATGTGTGTAGGCCTTAATTGTAGACGCGGAAAATAAGTAAAACTACGCCTCGCTGCTTGTTTGGCAGATTTAAACAGCGGGTTAATTACAGGATTCAGACTGCTACGCACATTTCAAAGTGACGTTATCACAATATTCTTGTAGTTAATACGTGTACCAATTGTTTCCCAAGGGTTGATCGTTCGACAAGGCGTGGGAAAATTATTCAGACTTGAATACGACTTATTGAACAAAAATTCGTGCAACAGATTTCAGGTGGGCATTTTATTTGTCTTGACAACTTGACACACACTTGAAACAAAGTAGGACCGACAGAGACAAGACTGGTTTTTAAGCCTCTTGTGGCGGCGTGGGACCTGTTCCGCAGCAGCGCGTTCGTTCCTACGCCGTAGCAATAGGCTTAAAAACCGGTCTTCTCTCTTTCGGTCCTACTTCGTTTCAAGTATGTGAGCGGCGTTTTAGAGCTTGTTGGCAAAGTTGCGGGAATAAAAGCCATATGAACGGCCTTTTTGCCGTTTGTGAGGCTTTTGTTCATCCCCATACTTTATTTTTTCTGTGCAAATGTTAGAATCTGCGGCAGAACTTAAAAACAGCGCAGTGAGAATTGCCATATAATAAAATTTGGCTGTTACATCACCAGTCTGCGCAGATGATATACCAGCGCCATCCAAGCAAACGGAAAGGCACACTGCTTTCGCAAAACTGCTTCCACACAAGCCAGCCTTTCGTGCTGTTTGCAACCAGGGCCCGTTTGCTCGAAGCACTAACCGAGGCTTAAGTTAGCCGCAGTACCTAGGAGAGGGATTTTGAAATCGCATGACTGGGCTCGGTAGGGATGCGGGGAAACATGGCGGTGCCCCAGTGAGTGAGCGCCGCTCGCTTTGGAAATAATATGTCGTTGTAGCTGCAATATCGGGCGCGTTAGTCAGCAACGAATGGTGCAGGAAGCTTTCGCTTTGCCTTACCTCACTTAAGCCACAAAGCATGGGCAATGACATCGCCGCATTTTTTACATAGTGTTTCGATTCTGGGCATTCCTAAGCCTAAATGAACGCGATAATTGTCGGCATGGCAACGTCTTTGGAAAGATGATTGCCTTGACCCAATCGGCCGGGTATTGATAGCACACAAAAGCAAAGAGCGTCCCAACAGACTTTCTTCTAAATTATGCAAGCATCGCGAAAAAACAAATTGGGTTGTGTGTATGTTTATACAGCCTAGAACTTGGTCTGCCTCACAGGGGCGACGAGTCTCCCAGCTGTAGATGAGAAATTTAGCCAGTGAGGTACAACCGCTAGCCTGGGGTCTTTAACGTGCATCACGCAGTAGTTATACACGACCGCACGCCGGTACGATGCTCATCCAGATCGAAACGGGCAGGGGTGGGGCTAAGAGAGCGCTGCAAGTGTAATTCTACGGTTCACGCTCGCTGGCCTTCCTTTTATAAAAGATTCCAAGTAAAAAAATCATAATAAGGCTTTAACGAACGCGCGTGCAAGGCAAAATTTGTTTTATACTTTTTGCTTTAGAACGGTTACTACTGCCGACGCCAGCACGTGCGACGCGTGCAGCTACAGTCGGAGCATGCACCTCGGTGCTTGGATAATTTAGAAAAAAAGTCTGTTGGGACGCTGTCTGCTTTTGTGTGCTATCAACAATAGACCGATCTCACCAAGCGATCGGCGCATGCGTGACACCGCCATAACTTTAGTTCACAGGAGGCAAACGGCAGTGCACGAGAGGGCTCATGCTGTCTCGGGCTCCACACGCGCAAAGCTCCAGCGAAGTTGTCGCACGTGCAGAAAGACTAAAGTTCCCTCCGTGCATTGCGGCAGCGGTGGCGTAGTCAAACTGGCTTGTGAGATCGGTCTATCCGCTTTCCAAAGACGTTGCCATGCCGACAATTATCGCGTTCATTTAGGCTTAGGAATGCCCAGAATTGAAAGACTATCTAAAAAATGCGGCGATGTCATTGCCCCTGCTTTGCGGTTTAAGTGAGGTAAAGCAAAGCAAAAGCCTCCTGCACCATTCGTTGCTGACTAACGCGCCCAATATTGCAGCTATACAACGACATATTATTTCCAAAGCGAGCGGCGCTCACTCACTGGGGCACCGCCATGTTTCCCCGCATCCCTACCGAGCCAGTCACGTGATTTAAAAAAATCCCTCTCCTAGGTACTGCGGCTAACTTAAGCCGCGGTTAGCGCTTCGAGCAAACGGGCCCAGCTAGCTAGTTGTCAGTCAGAGGACTTGCGAGCTCTGCGTGCGCAACGACTTGCAATCGATGAACCTGTAGTCTCCTGATTGCTGACAACGGAGCACTGCGTGCTACATAAGCTCGCACCTGATCGTAAATACACTCTGGAATAACAGGATTATGCAACCGCAAGCCGTTTAGCCCCCATAGCTAGAAACACTAGCACATCTTTCACAACAAGGTGGCTGCGAGCGCACCACCAAAACAGGCGAAGACCGTTCAAGGAACTAATCCACTCTCATAAATAATGGTACCACTCAGTGTCCTGTTCTTCCTCCGAATAGAAAAAAATAATAATTTCCTAGCGCGTGATAAAGGGCAGTTGTATTTCACCCAGGACCTCCTCACCACGTCACGAAGGTTGTACTGGGGTGACGTAAACAAACAGGGAGCATGCTTTAAAGATGGCCTCAGCTCCCAATGTACCTAGCCAGCTCTCTTTTTTTTTTTTTCGGATTTTTTAAAGTGGTTTTTATTGCGGTACAAAAAAAATCTAAAAAACAAGAGGGGAGGAGGAGGGTCCGGATTGCCCTGTTTGGGGGCGGTGGTTACCCCGAGAGGGTAGGCAAGATATGAGGAGGGAACAGTGGGGGTTCTGTTTAAGGGAAGTGAGAGGCTTTTCCCGCGTGTTCCCGCTACATTTGGCGGACAACAGAGTTTGTACGAGGGTCAAGTGACATCAAGGCATGTCACGTAATTTTCCCCGCTAAATTTAGCGGCAAAACTGAATTTCTGTATAAGTCACGAAACATGATGTCACGTGCCATTTGGCCCTTGACGCTCGGGAATGAAAGTTATGCGTTTGTCATGACACCCTCGTTCGCTTCGTCTTCCAGGCTGCCGCGTCGCTGACTCTGTCCCAGAGCACCCTAGTTCTGAACATGGTGTCAGAAGTGGGATCCACCTGCTTGTAGTCATTGAGACCACTATGCCGGACGAAGAAAAAAAGACCGTCTACCTCGGGGCCACGGGGCTTCAACCGCCGTCGCCGTTCGACTTCACGAGCCCAGGCGAATGGACAACGTGGATTCAAACCTACGAAGATTACGCCTTTGCCACCGGTCTACGTTCTGCAAGCGACGAAATGCAAGTACGAACGTTGCTTTATTGTATGGGTCCGCAAGCTCGTACTGTACTAGCTTCGCTTGGCGTGCCAACCCCGGAGACACAACCGTTTGCCGCCGTCAAGGAAAAGTTGACCCAACACTTCGTTCATCCTGCGAATGAAACTTACGAAAGCCGAAGATTTCACAGCAGGACTCAGCAGCCTGGAGAAACAGTTGACGCGTTTTTCGCGGAGTTTCGAACCTCTTAATCAGACGTTGCAACTGCAACTATAATAGCCCCGAGATAGAAGACCACCTAGTGCGTGACAAGTTCGTAGTGGGCTTATTGGACGAGAAGCTATCGGACCAGCTGTGCCATTCCACACGACTCACCGCTGACTAAGCTTTTTTACAACTTCGCCAGCACGAGGATGCTGAGAGAGAGCGCGCTTCTCGTTCGGCGCAAGCTGCAGTAGCCTTGAACGTCCACGAAACGAAAATAAAAGACTGCGTCCTCCGCTCCTGTCGCGCCCACGTAACAGGCAGCAGCATTTGGACAACGCAGTTGGTGGCAATTGTGGGCATTCGGCGCGTGACCGCAAGGATTGTCCAGCTCGGAAGGCAACTGTCACATAAAACGACAAAGGTCGGGGATAAAGTGTCTGTCGACGTGAGCGGCCGCCTGGTTTCCCGGAATCCTCCGCCAATTTCGAATTCACCGACGCGTGCGGGGAGTGTTTCTCAGCACCTTGGGGGGAAGGGGGGGGGGGGGGGGTGCCTCGGTGGTTCTCTTCCCCTCACCTTGCCCGCCCAGGCTCAGTGGGCTAACGCGTGTGGCCCCCGGTCCTTGACTGCCTTGCCGGAGGCTTGGGTTACTCCCGAAGCCATGGGCCGCAGACAGCCGTGTCTGTGGCGGCCACAGGCATAAATATTACGAAGCACGCTGTCTCGTAACTCTGCCCCAAAACAAACCAAACAACAATATAACATGAGGTCTTTGAACCTAGTGGAGTTGTGTCACATTAAACGGCAGGGAATGTTTGAGTTTAGA